AGCCCGGCCCGTCCCCGCCGCACCCGGCCCCGAGGGGGGCACCCCGCCAGCCGCCCCGGAGAGGGCTGCGCGCGTCGGCGGCGGAGCCCGCAGCCCCCATCCCGCCGCCGCCTGCTGCAAAGTGCCCCGCGAAGTTGCGCGGAGGAGAGAGAGGAGTTGCGGGTACCTGCGCTCAGCTCCGCGCCGCCGCCCCCCGCCACCGCCGGGCAGGGGCCGTAGCGGCCCGAGGAGCTCGGGGCTGGCGGCGGCGGGCGGGGGTGGCCCTGGGCGCCTGGGCAGCGCCGGGGGCAGCGCCGGGGCGGGCGGGCCCGTTGGGGAAGGGGCCGTGCGGCGCGTAGGGCAGCGGCTCGGCGGCGTGCGGGAAGGGCTGCCCCGCTCCGCGCCCGCGGGGCACCTCCACCATGGTGGGTCTCTCATAGCGCTTGGCCAGCGCCGCCCGCTTCCCGGGGAAGGTCTTCAGGACGCTGTAGGGACCCCGCTGCTTGTAGATTTTGGGGGTGCTGGGCCCCTCCTCCGCCGGCTGCATCTCCTCCTCCATCCTCCGCCGCCTCCCCCGGCGCGGCGCGGCGCGGCCCCGCTCCGGGGCTGTGTCTGCCGCCGCCGCGGCTCGTCTCTGTGGCACGGCGGAGCCCCGGCGCGGCGGGGGGCCGGCCTGATTGACAGGCGGCCGCGCCAATGCCTGGAGGGAGACGGGCGGCGACCGGCAAGTGTTTAGGGTAATCTCTGCTAATGGCAGCGGGGCGCGGAGGCGGGCGCTGGCGGGGCCGCCGCCGCCCCCGGCCCCCCCCGCGGGGCAGGTGAGCTGCCCGAGGGTCCGAGCGGCTCCGGGACCCCCCTGCCCCCGCCGGGCCCGAGGGGGCCGCGGGCTGCGAGACCGGCCCGCCCCGCCGAGCGACGGCCCCGCGAAAACTTTGTGTCCCCTCGGGCGGGCGCGGAGCCCCGCCGCCCGCCGGGCATCCCTCCCGCTCTCCCTCCCTCCCTCCCCTCCTCTCCCCGCACGGAGCGAGCCGCGGGCCCGCCTCCCCGGTTATCGGGGGTGAAATAAATAATGCCATAAATAAAAGTATTTGGGAGTCCAGGACCTGTCAGAGTTGATTAGGGCACAGAGGACATTTTCTTTCTCATTATGCAAAAGCATTTCATGGCGAAATAAAAGAGGTTTCGCTGTAACTCATGCATGTCAGATTTCCAGGAATCCGGGAGATTAATCACATTTAACATTATTTGCAACGCCCCCCGCCCGCTTTTTGCAAACCGCTTAAATGCGGCGGACGCGTGGGGCGCAGGCTGGTCCCGCGTCCCCGGCTCACTTTCCCCCTGTCGCCTGCCCGGGCCCTTTCAGGGACAGTTAAGAAATAATGAAGCGATGGTGAAAGACAGGAGGAGAATGAGATGCCATCGAAAGACGTTTCTGAGAAATGGTGGAGATCTGGGTGAGATGGGAGACAGCTGAAACCGAATGATATGTTGAAGAAAAATAAACGATAACAAACTGCTCGCTTGCTCTCTCCATTCTTTTCTGCCAAGCAATTTTATATTTTGCATTACCATTTCCCTTCTTCTGTCCCACTTCTCGCCTGCTTCTGTTGCTATAATTTATCAGGATTACAATAAACCCTCTGGCTTGTGGAAGTAAAATTGCAGAACACCTTAGCTGTATTTAAATGTCGGCAGTGGGAAATCATTCCTCTCATCACGTGGAATTTTGGCCACTTATTGTGGTCATCGCTCTCCCATTTCAGCTTTTTTAATTCAGTCAGAGTTGGTCTTACTGGTAACGAAATGCAACCCTTTGCTGATGGTAATTAACTCCTGCCCATCTACTGCAGAAGAGTGGAGTTAAGTTCTGCCGGCCAGGCATTCTTTTCATGCAGGGTGTACCAGGAGCTGGGCTGGCTTTGGTTTTGATTTTTATGACAAGCAGAGTAAATCAATTCCTTGTAGCAGCCAAAAGCATCAAGTAAAGGCTAGTGTGATAGAAATCGCTGTTTTACCTAAGCAAAATCAATCATAAGTCTCTTTGTTTCCTGCTTGAGTCTGCTCACTTGTGCTTTAAAAAAAAAAAAAAAGAAAAAAGAAAATTGTACTGTAATGCAAAACAAAGACTGGAAAAATGTGTGAGAAAAACTGTTCCTACTCAGAAATTAAATATGTCCTCTACCTTGTCTCATCTAACTGGCCTCTGCCTCAGCAGCTATTGGAGGTCAGTACTAAAATTGTATAAGGTTAGTATTAGGCTCCTAAAAGTTAGATTCAAATAAACAGCCCAAAATTACTTTCTCAGGTGTCAACTACATTCATAGAGTTCACTACTCTTTGGTGTAGATGCCTACCCCTGAGCTCCTTGTGGAAGGGACAATCCTTGCCTAACAGGAGCCTCGTACAGACAGAGAAAACCTGGAGTGACAGGTCATGTCCTCCAAGCTGCCCTCTCTACCAGCTACCTCTGCCAGGGTCCAGGCAGGTCACTGGGCAGATGCTGGCTCTCCAGGGACAGGAAGAGAGCAGCAAGTTTGGAGTCAATGGGGCTCAAAGCCACTGAAATGATATGGGGACCTCATCTGTGAGGAAAATGGAATATGCACTGAATTTCGTTCTGCTGAGGTTTTTGACAGTGCCCATCACTATCAAAATATCACTTTAGCTGCTTTTAGGAAAGCTTGGCTTTCCCCCTGGTTTGCTCTCAGCGATTCTTTTGGGTATGTATACCTAAAAAATCTGTGGCTGTCTCCCCACCTTTCCTTTTATGTTTTTCCCTGAGTTTCAGATGAGGGACTCTGGTGTTGTGGCTAATCTGATGGGTTCCTGCAGCTCAGTCCTGTGATATAAAAGTGTTTAACCCTGGTGGTCCCACCTTTTCCTTTGTGGAATGCCCTTTTATAAGGAAACCCCATTTTGCTCCTGAGCTCTGTACAGGCATGCAGCCATTCTTGCAGGAGGACTACGTGCCTTTGGACTGGCAAAGAGGCAGGCTGGTGAAGTGATGATCTCCAAGTAGGGGAAAATGCTGCTGTACCTGCTGTGAGCATTTTGGGCTGCCCTTTTCCATGGCTGCTCCCTGTGGCACAGCCTACTGCTCCCCTGTGGTCTCAGCATGTAGTCATGAAATTATTATTAACCAAACATTTAACTCTGAATTACAGACCCAGATTGGTTGCACACTGGATGAAAACAGTTAACACATAGCCTTTACCTTGATAAACTAAAAAAGCCCGAAACTCTTAGCTGATATCAGCAGCTCATTTTCAGAAAGCCAAACACCTTCATTTCCCTTAGACTGTGGCATGACTTGGGAGTTGACCCTGAAAAGAAGGTTGTGTCTTTCCCTACCTGTTTACTGATTCAAGTTTTCACTGTTTCACTGACACTAAGGGCTGGAGATCTGTAACAGGATTATTGCAGAGCACTCTAAGTGGAAAAATTATGGGAAGTAGCTGACCCTCGGTAAAAAACCTAATCAAAACAAAGACAACAGGCACAATGAAAAGCAAGAAACCCAACATAGCTGCAGTATACACTCCTCTGCTCCTAGAAATCATAGCAAAGAGAATATTTGTCAGTATATAGAAAAATACCCAATCTAGACACAGGCCATCAATCACTGAACACATCTGTGTTGAAGGTACTGTGAGGTACTCAAAGAATAAAAGTGTGATTCATCCCTATCTTCCGAGCAGGGGCTAAATCTTGCTCCACTTATTCATGGGAGCAGTGCTCCTGTGATAGCTAAAGCATGCAGGATTTGGCCATGAACTGCCAATATTGCTCTGCACGTTTGGAGTGTATGATGAGAGCTGAGATTGGCAACTCTCCTCTGTAATCTAAACCACTCTGCAGGCAGGCTAGCCATAATTTGCTGCCCTAAACATTTAACCCCGGCTAGTTAATTTAAGCTTAGCTCAGTTGCTCATGTTTATGGATAAAGAAACAAAAGGGAAAGCATCAAAAGGAAAAGATGACTGTGGAATTCAATATTTCGGCAGCAGTTGATAGGTAAATCTTATTGAAGTGTAGCATTCAAAACCAAAGGCCCGCATTTATGATAATGAGCCTAACAAGGAAATGAGATTGACACAGCAATTCTCTGTTTTTGTTGTCCCCTGAGGTTAGAGATTATGCAGTGCACGGTGCTGTTTTTAGCCTCTTTGGTGATTCCAACTGTGAGAGACAACGCTGTGCATATTTGTCAAGGTTGCACTTTAATCAGGTGACTCAGGGGCTTTTTGAGGGAGAATGTGAACTGCTGGTCTCACTTAAACCTTAATCCACATCCTATGTCAGAGATTCATGAGCCAAGCAGTGCAGCTTTTAGCCTCTTCTTTTCCCTTACGCTTACTCATTGCTCTGCAAACACGCTTTGAAATAATTGAAATGTATCTATCATGGTTACATTGTATTTTGAGAATTACTGGAATGTTTCTCAGTGACATTAATTGGTTTTAAAATATTTTTGTCTTTCTAATTAGTAAAAAATTGATGAGCAGTGGAAAGGGCATTTATACACAGGCAGACACATATTTCCACGCTACATTTGTGTCTTAATAAAATGGTTGCTAACTGGTTTCTTATGCTTAGTAAACACTGGAAAGATAGAAAATATCCTATAACTTTAGGAAGACGAAATAACCTCTGTTTTAAATGGGATCACATGGTGTAAAAGAAACCCCAAGTCTCCCTGAGGGCTGGAAAATGGATAAATGAATTATTTAAATATAGTTAAAGGATACACAGGAAAAAGTAATGGCTCTGATACCCAATGTAGGGAAAAATATTAATATTTTAAGGAATCAATTGTGGACACATGAAAAAGCTTGTTTTAATTAAAGATAGCTTACATAAAGCAGTTTCAAGCAGGGAGAAACAGTATAGGATACTTGTTGCTGAGCGTTTTTTAGAAATACATCATGAATAAAAGGAATGACACAACACAGTCCAAACTTCCATCTGCCCTAAAAAATCTTCACTGTCTGTGTTGGAGCATTCTAGAACAGCTTCGCCTCTCTGGAACATTAGCTCTTTCCCTAGCCCTTGCCCAAGCTTGCTGGTGCTTTCTCTTGGTCTTGGCCATCACCGTATAATGTAGAGTTGCTCTATATTGCATAGCTGCTCTTTGCAATGCTTAGTGCTCATTTTGCACACTTGGCATTTTGAGACCAGCATATTGGGAGGTCTGCTGGCTGCACACCTAAAGGCAGAGCTGCTGCTCCACAGGCTGGGACCCAGCTTCCTGACTAAACCTGAGCGACTCTCGCTGGTCCCTGCCCCTCAGGCACTGTTGCCCAGGCCTGCAAAAAGGTGATCCTTACAGGTCAGAAGTCACTGAGCTAGAACCCAGTTAGAAAGGCTGAGTAGAGTAGAAAAGGCTGATTTCCCCAAGCAGAGACTTCACTGATATTTTGCACTGAAGTGTTACACTTGGGCCCAGCACTCACACAGCTTGGTGGCTGTACAAAAAATATAGTCAAATTTTGTCAAGCAAGCTGTGCACATCAGTTACAATGAAAACACTGATGGGATGGACAGAGGAAAACAGCTGGAAGTAGAATCTTCCTTAAACTGATCAAGATGGGGAACCTGACTGTGGTTTAAGCACAACAGGATACACATGATCATCCTTGTGGTGCCTACTGAGCAGAGAGTCAACTCAGCTTAATCTGACAAAAAACATGGGCCTGAAGATACCAACAGTGATGGAGACATGGGAAAGGCATGATTCTTTGCTGAAATAAGCCTTCAGCTTGTATTAGATGTCTTTCCCAACTTTAAAGAGAGCCTAGGAACAGAAGGATACAAATTCTTCCCTGCATTTCCCTTCATCGCTATCCCATTTTCAGGCAGCCCCTAAGACTTACTTGAAACGATGACAACAGCTTCTCTGCATCCTTAAATTCAGAGTTCAACCACTTCATGGAACTGAAATGAAGGACTTCCTCTACATTAGTAATCATGTAGAAGCAGCACTAGTAATCCCGTGGGAGGTCCTAAAAAGCTGGGGGCAAAATAATTTCTTAGAAAAGAAGAAAGTGATGGGCAAAACCTGGAGTTTCCTGAGACCTCAGTTGCACCCTGACTAGTGCATCACAAAATGGCTCAGTTGTGAGAGGTTCCGAAAACTTTGATCCATAAATTGAATTGAATTCCATATTAAAAGAAATAGAAAAAAAAAAAAAAACAACAGCAAATACAGGCAAAATTTTCTGGAAGTAGGGTCAGGAGACTACTGCAGTTTCATGTGAGAAGGAGTTCCATTGCCATGTAAATCTTTATGTGTGGGAATGTGTCCACAACAAGCTACATTTGCTTAGGAAAAAAAATAGGTGAAACCACGTTTGCTGAAGGGTAAACGCACAGATGCTGTGTTTGCAGAGGCTGGAGTTCTTCTGATGCATCACCCACCTCTGGCTCTCCAGACACAGAGCAGTTGCTACCAAAAGTCATCCAGAGATGATCTCAGAACAGCCCTTCAAATAAGTAATGTTCTGTGAAAGTGTATGCTTTTACTTGTTTAAATATAAAGGATCTGGGAAAAAAAAAAGATGAGATGTGTGAGGTTGTCTCAGAAAATAATATGAGAATACCCTGAGTGTCCATCAACTTTACTTTTGTGATTATACTGTCATGAGAATCTCTTTATATCCTGAGCATCCTCATTATTATATTCTTGTTTCTTTGCTATGTAGCAGTGAGTTTGTGGCCTACAACAGAAGAACTTGCCCATTGATACCAACAGAGAGGTGAGAATTAACTTTAGCTAATGCTCTTTCTCTGAATCTTAATTTAAAATTGAGGAAGCCTTCTATCAGCCTCTCTCCTTGAAAGTATCTACTGGGTTTGATGCTGGTTCTGCCATCCTTAGGTAGACTAGATGAGATCAGAATTTAGATAATTTACATTATTTTAATTTGGAATAATATTTAACAACTTATTAAAATCTTCCAAGCTGATAGATGAGTGTCTCTTCAAGGAAGCATTTCTTGCTGTCCCTCTACAAACAACCATTTCACTTATGTAGAATTTAGCTTGTTAAGAAAAAAAAAGCTGGTGGGTTTTTGTTTCTTTTTTTTTTTTTTTGTCTCTGTACTTCTTCAATCACTTTTACTTTTTAATACTATGGTTACTGTAATTTTCTTTTGCTAGGAAAAAATCCTCTCTGGTCAGCTCTATTAATGGTGGAGTACACCATGATTTCCAAAGAAATTGTAGTTTCCTAGTCAGATATAGGTATGAAAGCAAGATACTGTGGCTCCTGGAAAACCCAAGTATCAAAAAAGGCAGCTGTACTGCCCCAGTACATCTAACCAAAGCATGAACACTGACATAGCCTTTCTTTCTTTACAATTGCAGATTTGCAAACATATACACTTGCCTCCAGAAAACTGGAAAGCTAAATATTAAAAACCTGACACACATTTAAGATTTCACATGTTCACTTACATAGATTAAAAATGCAAATGAAGCTGGCTTCAATGAGATGCTGACCTGAGATCAAGCCTTCTGAAGACAGGCTTTTCCACTTTCTTCAGAAGAAAGAAAAAAAAGAGCTGAGAGTTTTTATTCACCTGGATGAAACAAAAAAAAAGTGTAAGAACTATTTATAAATATGTATGAATAAATATTTAATTATATATATGCTGAATGGTTTAGCTGTTGTTCAGCAAATACATAATTTGTTAATTTTGCCTTCTTCCACTGAATAATTTATTCATCAGATCAGCTCTTTTAATATTCACTAGATGATCGGCTGATCAAATCCTGTTAGCTGAATATGTTATTTGATTTTTTTTTGCCCTTTTCAAAAATCACTTAGTCTATTGGAAGAACATTGCTGTGATTTATTAGTGGTATATTCCATCCAGTCCATGGTGACATTCTTCAAGAGTAACCTCCAAAGACAGTAGATATCTTGCTCTTGTCATATGATATTAAACTTTTGTAATGCTGACATGTATTATGTGTCTTTGACCAGGGAAATAAAACCCCATTTCCAACGGTACACTTTGTGTCACAAATTCATGACAATACATGTATGGTATGTTTTATTTTTTATTTGATGATTGAATATTGAATTATTTAGATGAGATACATCAATCATTCCTATATTCTGGTTTATCCAAGTGTCTACCCTGCAGTTTTTTCAGTACTCTGTCTTTGCAAAAGGTTTCTTCTAACCTCTAAAATTGTCATATAGCTTCAGAGATACCCTGACATTACAGTGTGGAACAAGATGGAGAAAGGACAGTGTCTAATCCTTTACAAGTCAGCCTTGAAGTCAGTCATCTTATAGCCCTTTGTAGCTAGAAAAGGACTTCTTACACTTACCACTTGAAAGGGGAAATTCTTAGCTTTCGATTGTACTGTCTTCATACCCAGGGAGGTCTGCAGAGATCAGGAAGTAAAGCCATGGTGTCATTCTGTTTGGAAAATTATTTCATGTTTTTATAGTATTCTCTGACATTTTCATAATTATTAAAGCTTCTGAGGACATACTTTTTCTCTTAAGCTGCTGAAGCCTAAATATTCAGATAAGGCTAGCTTTGTAAAAAGGAGGTTGTGAAAAGTATCATCAATCCATTTAAAAAAGTACTACTCAAGCTAATTCTCTGTAACGCTCCTGTGTAAGACTTACAGAAATACCAAATAAACAACAGGACAGTGACACTCAAAAACACTGAGACCACCACTCTGAAATGACCTGTGTAATTTTGAGCTGGTGCCACTCAAGACTTGTGCTGACATCTAGTACACAGATGTGCGTGCCACAGTCTGTGTGCTACAGCCTAATGTATTCCAGATTTCAAGATGCATGCATATGTAATAGCCTATATAATATTCCATACAAAAATTGCATTAAGAAAATGTTAAAGTTGCCTAGTTCGGCATTTAAAAGTCAAGAAATAAAATTAAGGTTGTACATGCAACATTAACTCTGTTCCCTAGAGCATTTGCCTATGATACAGTCTAATTACATGATCAAATATTATTTCTCAGATTATACAGTATAATATCTACATTTTTTTCATTTTTCAAAGTGTGAGGTGCATTAGGGAGGCTTCAGCTTCACCTTCATACAAAAAGACTTCAAATAAACATGGACTTGTCAGTCTGGAGAAGGGACACCTGGAAAGAGTTATAACAAGGGATTATAAAAGGATGCGTGGTGTAGGGAGGGTGAGGGAAGAGTGATGATTCAGTACTCCTTAACTGTGAAAGCTGGGGAACATTCATTCAACTAGCAAGTTTAGAACACATTTATTTTACATGCCATACACATGGACTCAGCACCGTAGACTCGGAGAAGATCCAAACTACAATGAATCCAAAAGAGAAATGTATAGACCATAGGGCTGTTGCTGACTGTTACATGTGAGCTAGAGGTACACTGCCCATGCCAAGAAGTCATTAATTGTGGGTGACCAGGGGCTGGGAGGATCTACCTGTGAAGGGCTCATTTAATCTGTTCTTTCTCCAAACAACCAGTGCTAGCCACACTTTGAAAGCACCACAGTGACCAGTGTTTCCATACAGACTAATAAGGACAATGATGACAGTAACACCCAACGTTTGGGATCCCTGCCACAAGGAAAGGAGAGGTGAATGTGACTCCTTGGTCTGTTTACCAGCTGCAAACCCCATCCTCAGAGCTGCTCTTTCTTCTGTGATGCTTCTGTACACACCAATAACCTAGCCTAAAATTTTTGCAGGACTGTCCCTGTAAGACTCCATTCCTGTTCACTACTCCAAACTCAAGCAGGATCTTACCTTAGAACTGTAGAACTGGGTGTTTTGGCAGAGGACAGCTGAATCTTCCACGATGTTTCTCAGTTTGAGGCATACATATCTGCACCTCAGAGCCTCCTCTCCCTGACTCTAGTGACAGGTACTGATTGTGGGATTGTTACAACCCTCTGCTGGATGGGATGGAGTGCTCTTGGGCCAGCCAGTGATAGTGAGCAACCCTGGGAGCTCTGGAGCAGAGATGCCCAAAGGGACACAGGAGTTGACACACTCTCCAGGTACAGGCTGTGCTCCCGCATGAAGCACAAAACTGAAATGGGGCTGTTTTCCTGTGACATGGAAGTGTGTGTCAGACAGAAATCAGGTGGAGATGACAGCCATGTGATCGACCACATTCACTATTTATTCCATTTACCTTGCATATATTATCTGCCTCCTTCACCTGCACTGTGACTGCTAATTCATTTTTACCAAGAGCCTTTTTCTTATGCTAATGAGGTTCTTTAAACAATTGTTGCTAAAAACTCACTAGGTTACAAAAGAAATAGTCCTTTCTCTTCCCAAAGTGCAGAGCAGTCCTTCCTTTACTCCCTGACAGGCCTGAAGTGAGAGTGTTGCTCCACTGAAGGTTTAAGGTTTGTTATTTCACTCTTCGTTGGACTAGAAGTCAGTATTTTACATAATTGAAGATCATGAATTATTAGTTCTGGGAATTAGATTTTGATGAAATCTTGACAGATAGCAAGGTATTATGTATAATTAACACCAAACAATCTACAATTAGAAGATTTAGCATATACAAATGTTATTTTTAGGAAATTAAAGATACTTTACCAAACATGTGAGTGATGATTTTTACACCCTCTGAAGTCTAAGGCTTTCCATGCCTTTGCAGATAAAGCAACATAAAAACAGTGTCAGTTTTCACTTCAAAAGACCTGAATTCTTCATTTTTGTATTTTGTAAAACGTCTGTAACTTTCTGTAATCTAGATCGATATGTAACACCTCAAGATTATATCTGGGTGAGGCAAAATAAAGAAAGCTGTTCAGTTTTTATTGAGGGAGGAGCTTTCTGTATGTGAGGAAAGCCAAGCCTGATGTTTACATCTGCCATGTGACAGTGACTCATACAATAGGATTTTCAAGCAGAGAGGAAAAGTAAGTGTGAGAGGAATTACAATCTCATTTTTAGGACATAAAATAAAGGGTTGACCATATACATCTGTCCCCTTACTTACCTGTATTCTGAAAAAAAAGGTCATTACTTATTTGGGGAGGGTGTTGTTTTGCCATTTATGTGTGGGGTATAAAATACAAGCATTGTATAAACACTCTGCACTGCAACAAGTCTCTGCACAACACCCTCAGCACTGAGAAAGGTATCTCTTCATCCCATTGCACATCTTTAATGCAGAGATTGTAAACAATCCTTGTGTCTCTGTTTAATTTTCTACAATATTTCTCTTTTTTTTCTTTCAAACTGTGGACTCACCATTCCACTGAATGGATAGAGAAGAAGCCATCAATCTTTTAATTCTGTGAGAGACCCAGCTACCAGCAGCTACTGTCTCTGGAGAGCATGGCAGCCTTGCTCTGCTCACAGTCCATCCGTGGGGACCTGTATGAGTTCTCTGTGGACTCTTCCCATCTTGTAAAGAGAATTTCTTTCCAAAATAATCCTGGAGGTACTAAAAACTCATCTCTGCTGGCTGATATTCCATCCAGGGCCAGGTCTGTGGAGGACAGCTGTCCGGAAGGGCTAACAAGGTTGCAAGCAGCTCTGTTTACCAAGATGTGTCTCCAGTGCCTGTTCCCATTACACTTGTGCCTTGCTATGGGCAGGATTTTGCACCTGCCTTGCAGATGACAATATCACAGGAATACAGCACAAAGACATTTGAGCTAGAAGAGTTGCTGTGATGGCAAACCCATGGGTGCAGCAAGTTTAAAGGTGCCTGCAACAGGGAATCTTTCACAGCTGTGTGACTTCCCAGCACTCTGAAAAGTCTACACACCTGAGCCAGCAGTCTGATGGGGCAAGGCAGTTTCTTTTCAGTTGCTGGTGGAAGATGGGATACAGGCAATGTAATGAAACCTTGGCTATGCTTGGGCACAGATAGAAGAGCATTGGAAATGTGTTCTGAACCTTCTTATTGAAGTGTCAGGGGTTTTTTGGATGGTAAATCCACTTTCAGGTCAGCAAGTCTGCAAGTTAGTCTGTCCAAAAAAACCCTTAAAAAGAAGACATTAAAATGCCTGAGACCTCACAATCTCCCACGTGTAGAAAAAAGCAACCAGACACTGCTTCTTTTGAATATCTGAGGGGGAAAAATAAGATATTTAAAGAGGCACAAACTTATGGATTCACTTTTTCAGACTCATAGAACCCATTAAATATGTGCAAAGCAGTTTTCTTCTGTAACATTAGATTTAATGGGAATAAATCAGCTGAAATACATGATTGCAAGAATGGTAACAGCAGGATTCTGTATGAACTTTGAGTTTAGGGAGTGTTTTTTCTACTCTTCCACAAAGGAAAAATCTCTTAATATATAACTTCTGAGGTAAGCAAATAAAAGGTGACATAATTCTTTGCCATTAAAACTGACATAAGTCAGATGATGCACAGACGCAGATGAGATAACTCTGAAATACGACATTCTTCAGGGCTGACAAAATTTTTGTAAACTAAGACTTTTTAAATCAACAGAATGAACCTGGTTATAACAAGCCAGCAGAGGTTACATGATCTAAATTCTGATTTAAATTGGTCAAATGTTGGTAAGAGAATATAAAAATATGCTGTGGAGAGAATATTAATAAGACATTCACAGGAAGAACCAGGTGAAACCATATCCAAACTTTAAAGGGAACATTAGGGTTGTGGGATAGTTGTCAAAACTGACACTGAGTAAAGCATTGTGACTTCATGTGAGAAGACAAACATCTCAGGCCCTAAGTGCTAAAGATCCCCATCAGAACATACACTGACATCCAGCTCCATGCTGCAATGCAAATGGAATGGCTCTGATGCTTAGTCCTTCAATGTTGCATTTCTAAATTTGCTGTGTTAAATAGACTCCTGCTATTCCTAACAACAGACCTCAACCCTATTATAACAGAAAAACAGCAGAACATACATGATTTCAAAACCACTATCTGATCTTGTATAGTCAATAAATGTTGTGGGCTTATATGGTGCTCAGATCTTCCAAAAAGTAAGGTTTAGAGGTTTGCCCCAGACCACAAAATAAAGCTGGCAGAGTGGAATATGATTTAGGATCAACCACCTGCCATATGGTACTTACTTCTCCATCCTATGCTGCTTCTTGATCATGCTAAGTTAGTCACAGCTCCAGCAGCAGAAATAGGAGGAGTTGTTTATTATCCTCAGCACAGTAATGATACCTCAGGCCACAGTGATAAGTAATTGAAACAACAGGGGTCTTAGAGAGACTTAAAAACAGAGATCTTAAAATACACAGAAACTGGTGTATTAAATGGAATGTGTAACTAATAAATTGCCAGCTATTTGCAGTATAATACAGCATCCCAAATTCAGTCATTCCAGAGACTTCAACTTCTACAATGCCATTTGATACTCTTCAGAATTTAAAACCCCATCAAGATGAGGCTAAAATAATAGCAATAATAATAATCATAGTGACAACAACAACAACAATGTTATTCACTTACTTACTTTTCTTCAAAGGGATTTCCACTTTTAAATGCAGGTAGATGATGAGTAATTCTAACACCAAGGTGTGACAACAATCACATGCAATTAAGGACCCAGTGTTATACAGTCCTGAATATCTATGATCTACAGCTGATAAGGATTTAATGGAGTAAATAACAATCTTTATAAACATTGTTGGCTTATTGTATCATGTTCTTCTGGCCTGAAAATATGTTATGCCATACTAACTACAGATTTAGGTACCAAAAACAAAACAAAGTGGTTTCTCTTTAATTGTACTTGCCCTAAACAGATGTCATCCTCGGAGGATGGAAGGATACAACCTTCAAAGCAAGTCTTATGCCATCAGACCTACTGATATGTATTGCTCTGTGTTCTTTATTAAATGAAATTGCATTTGATATTTTTCATTTGTCTTTATGATCTATTAATAACACTTTACCTACCTATCACTCTGTATTTTCTGCATCATTTTATCCAGTTCTTCTGCTTTTAAGATGGTCCTAGAATTTTTAGTGCTATTCCATGTACTGTATGAATTTTGAGCATATACTTTATGCATCTGAGATATATCATACTTAACAGAAAGTTTTCCAAAACCATTGTCTCACATTGTAATGAGATACAGAGAGATTAAGGATATTTTAGTACTTTGGCTACTGGATGGCACATGAAGGGCAATATGATTAAATGCAAGATAAAACTGTGAGCTGAGTGATAAAGCCAGACAAGTACATGAAAGATTCTTCTGTCAGAGGTTTTTCTTATTTGTCATGTAAATATTGCCTGAATGTACTATTACTGAATCTAAAGTTTGTAATTTTGCAGCTAGTAATTTTCCATTAGGAGTACTGTTTCATTTATCACTGCTAGGTTGTCTTTAGAAGACTAGGAAATGAGACAGTCATACAACAGTAATCTCCCTTAACCTGTGCTAACCTTGCTGCACTGTTTATTTGCCAGGGGTGGCATCCACCAAGGTACTGCAAGTGTGGCTCTGCACCGTATAAAATCAGCATCTGGCTCCTACAAAATACTCCCAAGAAAAGGAAGAAAAGAAAGAAAGTCATAATACCAGGCTCTCTAGATCTTTAATGCAGAGACATGTACATCTGCTGTGTGGTTAATGTGCAGAGCAGGCAAGCACCAAGGCTCAGGAGATGCTGGGCAGCAGGAAGTTCTCAGACACCATTGTGAGTGGTTGCTGCCATTGAAGTACAGTTGAGTGGAGAAGATATAAGGGTGACACCCCAGCAATCTCAGCTGACCTCTTTCAAGAACCAAGGGGATATCTGCTTTGGAAAGGTGCCAGCTGGCTCAACCCCGCTTTGGGGGTCCTGGTGCTGCACTGGGGAATGCAGTGGCTTAGGTTCCACCAGCCTCAGCCCACTGCCCCAGAGCTGCTGGGGAAATTACCCTGATTTGGGGGTGTCACTGTATAGAGAATGGGGATGTTAAGAGTTTGAGTTGTCTCTCAGTTACAGCATTCACACCAGGAAACATAGGAAAACACTTGCCCAGCTATAATCCTGTTCCATTTTTATATCATAATGGAGAAGTTCAGTCTGATGCAGGCTTTTGGGATGTGGCTGGAGCACCTAAGCATCACAGCACCAGCGCACACTGGTTCTAGCAAGGGCCAGGCTGTGCAGAGGTTTGGAGAAGTTGCTGGTGCCTGTCACTGGAAGCTCGTGGAGGCTGCCTGCCTGCTGATGCAGCTCTGAAGGAAGACAGGGCTTACCATAAGCTACTTCAGAAAATTGTAGGCTCTGTGTAAGTTGCACAAATTACTGGCCAAAGATTTCAAACAGTGAACACATTTGTTCTCAAACTATTTATGAACAGGAAGAAAACAAACCTCACAGTAAGACAGTGATGTGTTGAATATGCTTTGTTTGCCTGGCATTAATGGATATCTGAAGGAGCTGGGTTCTATGAGTCATTCAGTCAAGCTGTAGAGATAATCAAAGGGGTGAGACATGCTTCCAAAGGATCCCCTTTTGCATTCTTCAAACATTCTCTCAAACTCCCAATGAATTCAGTACAGAAAAATTAAGATGAGACTTACATCCTTGCAGGTCTCCTGTCACCCTGTGCAGCTGAACTGAGACCAAACTATCTCCCAGAGCTCATATAGGAGCAGCACAATTGCCCCTTTCTGTATGCCATTAGTCACATGTATTTTCAGTCCCTGGGGTAGATCTCTGCAGGCTGCATGTGACCTGCTGCCTGTCCCTTGCCACACTCTTTCCACAAGGCCTCCCTGTCACCTGGGGATGGAGATGTGCTGTGCAGTCCCGAGTGTCTTGGTAACAAGATATCTGGCCGCTCTTGGTGAAGTTCTGGGGTCCCTCATGGATATGTGACACCCAGGAGTAAAAGAGAATTATCACTATAAAAAAATCTGATCTTTTCATGTCTATAATTTGTTTGTGTGCTTGTGTTTTACTGCATTGCATTAAGCTCTCTCTAAAAACAAAAAACTGCAATTCATAACCAGAGAGGGGGGAGAGACAAAGAGAGAGAGAGACAGAGAGAAAGACTAATGCTGGGAATCCCAGATTGCTGAAAAGAAGAGGAAAAAACTAACACAAAATTGCTGCCTGAGATGATTAAAGACACTTCAACATTTTATAGGGAACAGCCTGCAAAACTGCTACAGAAAATGGTGGGAGATAAGGCAGCAAAGGAGATGGTTATCAGAGCAAGAAGTTGGTGATCTTTTTTGAAAAATAGTCACTACATGAAAAAATCCTCTCTTGTCTCAAAAAAAAAAAAAGCCAAGAGCAGATATAACTGAGGAACATATAGATGATCAGTGTCCCATGCTTCATTCAATCAGGCAATCAAGATAATTAGGAAGTATGGGGAAGATTGATTAATGGCCAAGGCAGACATTGAGTTGACCTTTTCTTTATTACTACAGCAGTACATTTAAATAGACTCCACTTAGTAGGGTTTAAAATGGAAAAGTGAGCTGTTATAGATATAGTAAATGTGTAACTAAGAATGCAAGGTCTAATACTCCTATTCTGTATCTTGCTTTCTACCTTTAGTCTCCACACCATCTCATCTGAACATGAATTAGTTTAGTTTCTTGAATCCATGCTCTAGCAGTTACTCTAGTTACTATCTTAAGATAAACCAATGTATTTAATGGTAGTAAAATAGATAGAGTTTAAAATGTTTTAAAATTG